GTGTGCATGCGCCCCTGGGCGTCATCCCAAGGTGGCCAAAAGAAAAAGACACAGGATCGGGGATACAGCTCAGCGGCACGGTGCCTGCCTGGCAAGCACAAGGTCCTGAGTTTGATTCCCGGCACCAAAAACAAAAGAAAGCAACACTAAAAGAAAAAGACACAATCCAAAGCTCTCACTGCATGGTGCACGCAGGCAGCTGCTCCCTCCCTGGGCTGCCCCAGTGCCTGTCCCTGCCGCTCGCCAGCCCCAGAGCGCAGTGTGGAGCCGGTCCTTGTTCCCAGCAGTGGTGGGACGAAGGCCCCAGTCCAGGCTGTGGGACCCCCACCCTGCAGGAGATTCTAAGGGGCATTTACCTGCCACCAGGCAGTGTCCCTGGGGTGCTAGGCACACACACTAGCTTGGGAGGGTCTCCAACGGCCGTCACAAGTGACCACAGACAAGCGGGTGCAAAAGGACCCCAGGCCCCACTCACTGGAGGCGGAGGTGTGCCGCAACTGTGGCCTGCTGTGGCCTCCCATGCCCCTCCTGACCTCCACCTCAGTCTCTCCCTCACCCCGCATCCTCTCTTCAGGGGACAGGGTGGGCAGACGAGGCTGCCCTGCATCCAATCCCAACCCCAACCACACCCACGGAAGCCCCTCTCCAACCAGGGCCCGTTCCTGGCCCAGCAGTGACAAAGGTGGCCGAGGCTGTGCTCACAGGGGGTAGCCGCGTCGAGACTGTGCTCAGGGACACCTGCGTGAGTGCCGAGGCCGCAGATGGCCCCGGCAGTGGCAGCAGCCGGCCTGGAGGCGCCGGTGCCAGCGCCGGGATGGAGGCCAGCGTGGGGGCAGCCTCCACACCCCATCACCTGAGCCCCAACAGGGCCACACCTGTGGCCTGGGCCTGCTTCGCAGGAGGCAGTACAGAGCTACCAGTCACAGGAAGATGCTGCCAGGGCACCGTGGGTATTCTGTCACTTATTTTTTGTGACAAGGTCTCACTACATTTATGTCGTGCAGGCTGGTCTTAAACACCTGGGCTCAAGTGACCCTCCTGTCTCAGCCTCCCAAGTACCCAGGACCTCTGGGGTATGCCACTGCGCCTGGCTGACCGGAGACTCTTTCTGGCGCACCTTTCAGTGACCCTGAGCCCCAGCTGGCAGGCGACAAACACTTATCTCTTCCCTCACAGCAGGTGGCTCTGCTGACAGAACACCACCAACATCCACTCACTCTTGACCACCCCTTGCCCAGCTCATCATCCCTGACCTGGGTGCTGAGGTGGCCACGTACCCCATGTCCACTCCGCTCACAGCCATGACCACTTCCTAGGGGACAGGACAACCAGCAAGCAGTGCCCCTGCTCAGCACAGACCACGTACACACACCCACATCCACCAAAAACACAACACAGCTGGGCACAGCAGCACACACCCGCCATCCCAGCCACTCAGGAGGCTGAGGCAGGAGGATCATGAGTTTGAGGCCAGTCTGGGCAACATAGCAAAATGAAAAATGACAAAGTGCCGCCAAAAAAAAAAAGACACCAATACCTACAGCAGCGAGAAGGTGGAAACCACCCCCAGCGCCCACGTAACGGGGAGTGCGCAGCCCTGTGGAGGAGCACGGTGACCACAGCATGAGTGCACTTTTTTTTTTTTTGGTCTTTTTGAGACAGGGTCACACTTTGTAGCCAGGCTGCTCTCGAACTCACGGTGATCCTCCTGCCTCAGCCTCCTGAGTGCTGGGCTTACAGGTGTGCGCCACCAAGCTCGGCTCTTACACTGTACAACTGAAGATCAAGGTGATCAGTTTCTCTTTGTGTCTGTCTTACCACCAAACATTTTAAAACGGAAGAAAACACAGACACAGGTTACGACATGGAGGGACCTCAAAAACATACCACCGGGTGACAGAAGCCAGACACAAAGGCCACATGGTGTGCGACTGAACTGATACAAAATGTCCCGAATGGGGGAATCCAGACAGAAAGCCGATTAGTGGCTGTCGGGTCAGGGGCTGGGGGAGGGGACAGGGTCTCCTTGAGGGAAAGAAAATGTCAAAGCCACCAGTGACAGCTGCACAGCTGCGAATATAACAACCCACCAAAGGGGACGGGATCCAGGACCCCCAGAGGACCCCCGAGTCCACAGATCGCAAGCCCTTAAAAACGCAGATGGCCTCCCATGCATACATTCAGTACAGCCTTTGGGTGGGGACTGAACCCAGGGACTGTGCATCTCCAGCCCTTTTCTTTTTAAATTTTAAGACAAATTGCAAAGTTGCCCAGGCTGGACTCAAAACTGTCCATCCTCCTGCCTCAGCCTCCCGAGGGCTGGGATGACAGGGCTGTGCTACCACACCCAGCTCAGGTACAATTTTAATTTTCAAGTTCATCTGGCCCGCCATCGGTCGGATCTGAGGGTGTTGGGACCACAGTAAGCAGCGGGTCAGCCCCTCCCACTGCCAGTGGCGCCTGGCTTCCACTGCACCCGCCCAGGCCCAGGGACTCTTCAGGCTTTGTCACCTCTGGCTCCCACCTGCCACCCCTCCAGGGTGGCCACCCCTAGTGTCACTCGGTTTCCTCTCTACCACATGTCTCCCTCTCCGGTTCTCCCAAGACCACACCAGCTCCCCAGACGCCCAACCCCAAGTGCCCCGTGAGCCTCTGGGTCCCCACACCCAATACCCGCTCAGGGCACAAAAACGGTCGCTGAGTGAATGAATCAGCTGCCCTAACTTTACAGGGTGGACTGTGAGGCCCAGAGAGGTGAAGAAACCTGTCCAGAGTCACAAAGCAGAGGGCCACAGCCCTCCCAGCACGGCAGGCGCCCTCCCAGCCGAGGACCCGGGCACCTGCAGCAAAGGGCTGCTGTCCTCAGACATTCCCGGCAGAGGAGTCAGAGCAACAGCCGCGCCTCACCTGTCTGCAGGTTCGAGCACCCTGGTGTCCGTGCAGGAGCAGGTGCCAGGCCATAGCAGGCCACCGAAGGATGCGCAATGGCCCGCCAAGCTGGGCCTGAGCCTGCTCGCACTGATCCCAGCCGGCGCACTGTGGCACAGGACATGGAGCACAGCGCGACCCTGGAGAGCCACAGGGTCACCATCTGCTGGAGGCATCACAGCCTCAGGCTCAGACAGTGGGGCGAGGACACTTCAGGTGCGGAAGGCTGCCACTGGGTATGATAACCTCAAATGCCCACAGATGCCACCAAGTGTCCCCTGGACAGCAGCTGCAGAATCGCTCCCCAGAAAACTCAGCCGTTTCTCTACATCCAGTGCAAGCTCACCTCGGCCCACAGTGTGGCTCCCGACCAGGAAAAAAGGAGGTAACAGACAGAGGGAGGGAAGAGATGGGAATTCGGATCAGGACCAGGAGAACTGCACCCACAAATCCTCAAATGTTCCCAAACACACTGACCAATGCGCAAACCACAAAGGGGACACATAGCCACCTAAGGAATACTACTCAGCCATGAAAAGGAGTGAGGAACTGATGCATGCTACAACACACGTGAACCTAAGAAACACGATGCCGAGTGACAGCAGCCACACGCACAGCCACATAGCGTGTGACCCTCAGGTACAGAATGTCCAAAGCAGGCAGATCCACATGGACCAGAAGCAGATCAGAGGCTGCAGGGGTCAGGGAGGGAAGTGGACAGGCCTCTCTCTATGCCCTGGAGCAGGGACAGACGTGGCCCTGGGCACACTTAAGGCAGTGCCTTGCCAAGAGTGAGCACGCGGATAGATGTGTGCTACACAAACCCACAGAAACAAGAAGACACGCTTCCTCGGCCATAAGGCGACAACCTTGGGGAGGAATGATCATAAAATAATGTGACCCGAAAGCTCCATCTGAGGCAAGAGACGGCGGTGGCAGCCCCCGTGCACACACTGCCCGGGTGCCCGGGGTGAGGGACAGGGTCCTGCCAAGAGCAAGGAGGAAGCCAGGACAGCAGGCTGCAGGGCCAGGCCCAGCTCCAGCCATGCAGCTTCCAGGTGACACAGCAGGGTACCTGCTCGGGCCACCAGAAGCCTGGCAGAGCCCGGCCTGCCCAGCAGGTCCAATGTGCCCAGCCAGCTGAGGCAAAGCGGTCCTCCACCCTGCTCCACATGTGGCCAGCTGTCCTCATCCCAGCGGGAGGAACATCACCAGGGCCCCATCACAGGCGCTGCACCGGGAAGGGACAGCTGTCTCCTCTCCGAGGTCCAGGACTCGGCCCCTTCTTGAGCCCTCTCCAGGTCCCCACCGGGCACAGCAGCTGCGCTCTCCTCAGGTGCCCACCCCAGGTCTGCCCCTGCCCCAGCACCCAAGCAGGACTGAGACAACCGTGCAGACGCCCCTCTCCCTCAAGGGGCAACGATGCCAGGACAGCTGCTCCCCGCTGGTCCCAACATGTGGGGCCGCCTGTCCTTCCCAGGTGGCAATGCTGAGGAAGCCCCGGTCCTGCCTGGGTCCCCACGATGGGAGAGCACCTGCTCCCCAGCTCTCGGCTCCCAGCGCTGCTTCCAAGCAGCTCTCGGCTGCTACGCCCCAGTGGCAGCCGTCGTGCCCCCGGCGGCAATGGCCTGGGGGAACCTGCCCCCTGCCGAAGTCTCGATATGGGACACTGCCCCTGCGGGCAGCAACAAGGCGGGGCGGCTGTGCGCTCCAGGCAGCGGCGGAACAGTGGCACCTGTTCTGTCAGGTACTAACGGTGCGATGACCACGGCGGGGTGGCACCTGTCCCGCCCGAGGAGCAGCACCGAGGAGCACCTGCCCGCCCAGGTAGCGATGCTGCGGACCCGCACCGCCCACGACCGCCGCCGGGGAGGGAGG